AACGGATCAATAGGTAGTCCGACTGTGTAAACGTCCACAGTTGCTCTCTGGACTGCTTGTATCGCCTCCCGCGGTAATCTTTCTCTGCGCATTTGTCTTCGATGGCATCGCAGAGAAGACGGCCGCAGTACTGATGTCTCCTGTGTTCTCTGATCGTCTTGTGACTCGTTGATGCTGGCTTCTGCACACAATTCGAAATGAATCTGGGGATCAATCCCTCTCCCCGGCACTGCAAAAGAAAAGACAATTGACACTCGCTCCTCTGCAGCTTCCAAGACCATTGTACAAACCGCCACGCTGCCTCCCTCCGGGAAGAGGAAAACCAAGTTTGAAGAAGGGCTGAGGCTTCCTGCAGCTTCATCTGTGAAAAGAATTCGGGTGGACACACCCATTCCCATAGCCCTGCACACCACATCCGAACCAGTTCCTTTATTTTTACAACGTTTCAGCACTTGGCCATCGTCAGGTAATAACAATGAATACCGTGGAAGCCACACAAGAGCAGTATATACGCAGAGTGTAGCGCCAAAAAAGATGCGAATTATGTCACCTAGCACTTGGCCATCGTCAGGTAATAACAATGAATACCGTGGAAGCCACACAAGAGCAGTATATACGCAGAGTGTAGCGCCAAAAAAGATGCGAATTTTGTCACCTAGCACCTAGTGCTAGGTATATACTGCTCTTGTGTGGCTTCCACGGTATTCATTGTTTTTACCTGACGATGGCCAAGTGCCGAAACGTTGTAAAAATAACGGATCTGGTTCGGATGTGATGTGCAGCGCTATGGGAATGGGTGTGTCCACCCGAATTCTTTTCACAGATGAAGCTGCAGGAAGCCTCAGCCCTTCTTCAAACTTGGTTCTCCTCTTCCCGAAGCGAGGCAGCTAGCGGTTTGTACAATGGTCTTGGAAGCTGCAGAGGAGCGAGTGTCAATTGTCTTTTCTTTTGCAGAGCCGGCGAGAGGGATTGATCCCCAGATTCATTTCGAACTGTGTGCGGAAGCCAGCATCAACGAGACACAAGACGACCAGAGAACACAGGAGACATCAGTACTGCCGCCGCCTTCTCTGCGATGCCATCGAAGACAAATGCGCAGAGAAAGGTTACCGCGGGAGGCGATACAAACAGTCCAGAGAGCAACTGTGGACGTTTACACAGTCGGACTACCTATTGATCCGTTCTCTTCAACGTGCAGTGGTTACCGAAGAACGAATAAGTTCCAACGCCAGACTAAATCGGAAGATTTCTGGACTTCGAGAGGCGGATCAACGTGTGGCGGGAACCAACAGCTCACCCCGCGGCCCAACTCCTGTTGCCGCCGTTGGTGTTGCATCACCCAGTGGGCATACGGCCAATGCTGAGCCAGTCCATGAGCGGGCATTGGTGGTGGACGACTGTGTGTCCGACCAGACAAGGCGTCTGCTGGAACATGGACCTAGCTTTGTCCCATCGACGGGGAGGCTCACCAAGCAAGAACGAACAGATGTTGAGACATCGGTAGAGAGGATGGCGTTCACCCTCCGGTGGCAACAGCCCCAGCCTCAGGGTGTGGACCTCAAAGAGGAGGACCCACCGCCAAAGATCAGACAGGACAAGAAATTGTGGAAGCTGATGAAGCGTGGCTTTAAGCAGCCCCCACAGATGGACGACAAAGACGAAAGGAACATGGCCAACTTCCGCGACGAGGTGTTACGGGCTTATGACAGACACACACCCTCTAATCCCAATCTGACGCAGGTGGAGCTGAAGCGACTTCGCACAGACCAAGAAACCATCATCAACCATCGGATAAAAGTAAAAAACTCGTTGCTATGAGACAGGAGCTGTATTTGCAGAAAGCAGAAGACATATTATCGAATATGACCATGTATGAGAACGTAGATTTGACCATAGAGTCCTACGAAACCAACACACGAAAAGTAATACTGTCAGAGTGCAAGAACATGGATTCAAAACTCCTAAAGTCAATCCTACCAAGCAGTACCAAATTCCCCGAGTGGTACGGTCTTCCAAAGGACCATAAGCAGAACTTACCATTGCGACCCGTGGTAGCAGCGTGCGACAGCCCAACGACTGGAGTATCTATTGTATTGGAGCGCATCCTACAGCAGCTCATTCAATTTGTCCCGGCCCACCTGGCTAACACGACGGAAGCAATAACCCACATCTGTGACGCATGTCCGGGATTGAACGCCCCCGATGGCACCATTGTTATGTCCATGGATGTAGTCGGGTTATATCCGAGCATACCTATTCGGGAGGGCGTTCAGGCAGTGGTGGATGTGCTGCAGCAGTATTCACAGCGGATCGACATGTTTGGGCTGAGTGTGAGCGGGGTACGGAATCTGCTGCTGTTTGTTCTCAGCCACAACTATTTCAGATTTGACCATCAGATCTATCACCAAGTGGACGGGGTTGCAATGGGTAACAATCTTGCACCCCCATTTGCGATTCTATTCATGCATACGGTTGAGGCCAGGCTTCTGCAGGATCCTCCGTTAGTACCGCTCCTCTACAAACGCTACATCGACGATATCCCTCTGCTATGGACCCACGGCAGAGAGAGCTTGATGCGGTTTGTGCAGCATTTTAACTCAGCACACCCAAGTATCAGCTTCACATAATTATGAGCTCAGCGAGGTGAGTGGCTCCATAAATTATATGGATATCACAATTATGATCCAGGAAGGCAAGCTGGCATACAAGCTGTACCAGAAGGCATGTGCTAGTGGTCTACTCATTGATTATACTTCGGCAGTTCCCCACCATATCAAATTGGCAGTTGCTTCGTCACAATTCCTAAGAGCTCAGAGGCTCTCATCGAATACCAGAATGCGTGCAGAAAGTGAAGCGAGGGTTCATGAACAATTAAGATTGAACAATTACCCAGAGAGAATCATTGAAGAGGCACGCACTGCCTCCATAAGGCCAAAGCGTCGTCGCCATGCCAACCCATGCTGCGCATTTCTAAAGCTTCCATATAAGTCAGACAAAGTACATCAAGCAGTGAATAAAGCAATCAGAAAGTATATAATTCCGGTTAGAGTCGTATATGAGCACACTGGTTGCCTGAGGCGCACATTGTGTCACTCCGCCCTCGTTCCTCCTCTATGTGTCAAGGATGCAAATCCGCTACAACCGAAAAAGAGAGGTCGCCCAAAGGGGCAGTGTATCTCGTGCATATCCGGGGGACAGGATGTATGTATGCAGAAGAATGTTGTATATCAGCTGAAGTGCAAAGAATGTCCGGAACAATATGTTGGGGAGACTGGTCCCTTTCTGGAAACTCGCCTGGAAGAACATAATGATGAGGCAAGACGACAGGAACTCGACAAGCCATGGGGCCAACATTTTCGTACCACTCACCCTGGATGCAAGCTTAACTATGGGCAAAGTGCATTCTCTGCAGTTGAAGTAATAGGAAGAGAGCCTGATCAAGCCCGTCGCAAACTGCGCGAGGCGATTGAGATTCGTGATGCCAAGCCCCATGTGAACATAAGCACCGGATGGGATTTATTGTGAATTTTCTCAGCTTCCCCTGATGCTACTTCAATATCACTGAATAAATATGATATGAGGCAGGTCACTCAAATCCATTCTGTTCCTGATGCCTCGTCGCGTCCCTGGTGGTAACAGTTTGGCATGGAAGTTTAACCTCATAGTGCATTGACGCATGGGGCTCCGTGCTCCCCTCCTGTAATGTGCTAGAATTAACACCATAATTATTTGGCATGTACCCTCACTTCGTAGAGCACAACGGCGCGCTCTTCTTCTCCGTGATGTGCACAGTTGCACCTTCTCTCCCCCCCCTCTGTATAGAGGTGACAAAACTGGCATCATTTTATTTTTTTGGCGCTACACTCTGCGTAACGCCATTCACAGAGCACAATGCGCGCTACCGTCTGCTGCTTCTCCTCCGTGATGTGCTAGTTGCGCCTTTTCTCTCTCTCTGTCCCCCCCCTTCTGCATACTAGGTGACATAATTCGCATCTTTTTGGGCGCTACACTCTGCGTATATACTGCTCTTGTGTGGCTTCCACGGTATTCATTGTTATTACCTGACGATGGCCAAATGCCGAAACGTTGTAAAAATAACGGAACTGGTTTGGATGTGGTGTGCAGGGCTATGGGAATGGGTGTGTCCACCCGAATTCTTTTCACAGATGAAGCTGCAGGAAGCCTCAGCCCTTCTTCAAAATTTATATTATCAGTCGTTTGATGATTGCAGTGGCATGAAACTTTCAGTCACGACAAATCCAAACTGGGCCTATTTCTCTTTTCCGTGTAGATAGAAAGATAGAAAGATGGAGGGATTAATGGATGGTTCGATGGATGCATGGAGGGAGGGGGAGGGATGGAGGGAGGCAGGCAGGCCGGCAGGCAGATAGGTAGGTAGGTAGGTTGCCAGCAATTGCCAAAATTACTCCTTTGTACTTCCTCAGGAAACAAAAACTTCGTGACTTTTTCACATGATGTGAATCATGCCTTCCTACTGTTCCAAAATGTCATCTGTTGATGTTTCAGGCGGACATAGCCACACAGCGAGCGACAGAACAGAAGCGAAAATCAATGAAAAAGTCACAAAGTTTTTGTTTCCGGAGGAAGTAGATAGATAGATGGATAGGTAGAGAGATACACAGATAGATAGAGAGATAGAGAGGTACATAGATATCACCCCAACCCCCATACACACAGACCCTCCCCCTCCCCTCCCCCCCCCCCCCACACACTCACACACTCTCCCTCTCTCTCACACACTCACTCTCTCTCACACACACACACACACACACACACAAACGCACACACACGCACAAACACACACACACACACGCACATACAGACACACACACATACACACACATACACACACACTCTCTCTCTCTTTCTCACGCACACACACACGCACACACACACACACACTCAAAGACGCACAACCAGACCTAACAACACCAGCCCCAACACATGTCCTTGACGACAGTCTCAGCACATGTCTGGTAATAGTGAGAGATTATCCGGCTCATTCGTGAGAACAAATATAGCGTACCTCATACTCGTATTCCATTGAACACTACTTCAGACGGAAAACTTCTGCAGTAAATGTTATATATTTGTCCTTTCTTGGTAAGCAGCAGGTTTCGGGCTGTTTATCAATAAAGCAATTCCACCTTCACCACATGCGCTCTCTGGCTTTCTTGCCAATAGAAAAACAAATGCATGTGAAAAGAAATGCAAATGTGCAGGCTGCGGACGGATTTACGGAATATGCTTCATACTCACCAGAAATGACACTCTGGAATATCTGGAACTTCGATGGTATTCATTGAAAGCAAGATCAATAACCTGGCCGTTCACAAGAAGCTTGGCCTCTATCTCTTCAGCCTTGTCCCGTACGCACAGGTCCACAAGCTCATTTTGGAAAGATGCCATTCTGTGAGCCTGAACAAAAACAGATCAATGTTCTCTTTAAAGCATTTATTGCCGGCTACTTTTCTTAGTTTGACCACTCTGGCGCTAAAGCGACGAGCTACCTCTAAAATGCCCCCCCCCCCCCACTTCATGGTTCGCGGCTGTAGTTATTATCATGTACACTTGTATTACTATTAGGTCACTGCGCTACTACATGTATATACCGTCAGCTGTAATGATTCTATATACATCCTTTTCCTGTGGTATTTGTTTTTAAACAAATAAAGGTAAATGGGCCAGTGCATGCGAAAACGTGTCTTCGGGGGGAACCGATTTCTTTCAGAATTTTGAGAAAATCGCCCAGAAGGAAGAGTTATATTTTTTTGTGGCTCGATCGCGGATCTTGTCTACATTCCTAATCGATCTCAAGACGACAAGAGAAACGACAAGCGATCGACTTGCAGCAATCATCATGGACGTGGCGGCGCAGGAGGAGTTGGAAGTAGCACTTGAGGAAGGGACTCGGAGTAGACACACTCGCGGCAGACGCCGAGCAGCACGTCGGTTGAGCTGTGCCGCTCGCGTGATTATCGTCGGCACGTCCGAAGACATCGGCAAGGTTTACTGTCGACGAGAAAGACGACAATTATTTATTTGGCGAGTCGTGAGTCGGAGCAGTGGGAAACTAGCAGCTGTACTGCTCACAGTGACTCTGACGAAGCCCCAGCTAAGCGTCCGGGAGTGAAAGACTCCTGCGTTGAGGTTGAAGGCGAGTCGAGAGCGGATGAATTAGGCGGAGATTCTGTGGACTCTGCAAGCGACGATGAGCAGGACGCGCTTCAGAGCATTGCCTCTGTGGACTCACTGATTCTCGAAGGCTGTGGCTGCGTTCGAAACTACCATTTCAGCAGCTTCCCGTCGAGCGCAATCCTCCATTACGACGATGAAATCCAAGGACCTCGGCATTTTTTTATATTGGTGTGCTGGCTGCGCTGCACTCATGACGATCCTGTCGACTGTCGTGCATCAGTCGACAGCTTCCACAACGGAACAGACGCTCATCACATTTGGATAAACTGTGATGGGATACATTGTGGGTGGAACAGTGTTTATTCAGCTCTATGATTGTGGTTGGCAGAACCTAACTGTGTGCAAGTGGACAAGGAGAACAATAGCTGTAATCCTGGTGCACATGGATATCTGGCAATGTGCCTTGGAATAAATTTAGTGCAGAAGTGGGAAACAGAGCAAAGCAGTTTATTCTGAACTACAGCTGAGAGTTCAGCCTCCCGCTGTCTGCTGCACCAAGAGGGAGAGGGGGGGGGGGGATCTCCCATAAACTTACCTACATCTGTCGCCTACAAGTTTGTCCTTTAGGAACATGTCGAGCAGTCTGGTGAATCGCAAATCTTGGGTTACCGTATATTTTTGTATCTGTGGACTAAGAAGTGTAAGTCCATCGTGTTGATGACTCGACGGATGGATATGTGCAACAAGTGTGAGCTGCCCCAGGACGATATTCGTTCGCCTCGTGCATAGGATGAAAAGAATTCTGCAACAGAGCCACTCCGTGACCATGTTGTCTTTGCACAAAAAGAAAGCGAGTTCTTGTTAGCTCAACGTCACAAGAACTTGCTGGACAATGTTGCCCAGTTTTGACTGGAGAACACGGCAGCCTTCATGAAATGTCTTGGCCAATTCTAAAGGCTGATATGCAAAACTGTTGCTTCTTTCAGTGACACTGTAGATAATGCATTTTATCACTCTCTTATTATTGACCCCCACAGAAACTTGTGATCTCTAAGCGGTCAAATATCAGCATATATTGACCGCTTATATTGACCACTTATTATTGACCACTTAGCCCGAGGACTTAGAACTTTTTCCTCAACTTAGAAAAAAATCAGAACTGAAAGAAGAAAAATCTGAAGCCAAATGCTAGGATTTGAACCCAAACTGTCAGATTCTCAGTCAAAGAACTTGGGGAACATACTACAAGAGACAACTGAAAAATTTGGTTTACACAGAAGTAATGTCCAATGTAAACGGCATATGTACATACTATTATACTATTACAATAGTATTCCTTTCTTCCTATAGCAAAGCAAAAACAGTTTTAGGTATGCTATGTTGTGTTAAATCTATTATTGCCCTCATAATCGGTCAATATATGAAATATAGACCTCGTAAAAGACCTCGGGGGACCTCGGTCTTTTACTCGTTCCATATTTCATATATTGACCTCTTTAATCGTGCAATAATAGATACATACAAGGCATATTCTATGTTGGACAATGCCATAGAAATCATGGTCTCTATGTACTTTCAAATGTGATATCCAACTTTATCTTCCACAGAGGTGTTCTCTAGACCCCTGTGATTGATTCTCAAGAAAGAAAAAAATTCCAAAAATTTGCCCTTAGACACGGTATTGCATGCACTGGCCCAAATAGTTTATATTTTGTAGTTAGCCATTTCCAGTTATATTTATTCCCGTAGCTATGCAGAAGACGTTACTTCAGTAACGTCTGGCGCGAACCAGGGTCCACACAGCTTTAATTTGGTATTTGTTTGTTTGTGTCACGCCTGGCGCTATCCCGTATCTGGCCCGTACCGTACCATCAAACACAGCTGGCCACAAACAGCTGGCCACAATATTCAAATAGGGCTTTCAAATGCAAGATCATAACGTGAAGCAACTTGGAAGAATGTGTATGAATGGGGAATGCATGTAGGGCGATAGCGCGGGTTAGAATCCCAGGTTATGCCTTAAAAAAAATAGGAGAATTGAAAAATTTATAACATCCCTATACTTTTTTGCCTAGGTCATCAAGGTGGTAGACGGTGTCGTATTACCCTGTCCCGTACCTGTCCCGTACCAACAAAAACGGCTGGCCACAAACAGCTGGCCACGATATTCAAATAGGGCCTTCAAATGCAAGATCATAACGTGAAGCAACTTGGAAGAATTAGTATGTATGCGAAGTGTATCGGGGGATGCATGCCTGATGCAGGGCGAAAGTGCGGCTTCGAATCCCAGGTTATGTCTTGAAAAAAATGATAACATCCCTATGCTTTTTTTTTGCCTAGGTCATCAAGGCAAAAAAGCATAGTGTAGGGCCCTGAGCTTCCAAGCTCTCTCGTTGAAGTAAATAGCTGACATTTGGTGTGTTTTTAGGATTGTCTTATTCATTCCCTTTTGCCTATCCTGCAGTTGCATGCGTGTGTGCTCCTCATTGGCTTCGCTCGTTCCTCTTTTCTTTTGTTCATTTGGCTTATGCGAAGGCTAGCCAAGCTGGCTTGGCGATGTTAAAGGGAACAAGCATAATAATAGAATGAAGTAGAGGTTGCGACTTCAGCGACGATTTTTTAGGAATGAGTTTGATCCCACACTGGAGCTCACGCTATTCCGCCGACTTGACTTGACACTTGACTGACGACTCACGACTGCCATCCGGAGCACACGAGAAATCCATCGAATCTTCGACTCGGCAAACCTGCAAGAAAGCACCACTCCCTGCTCAATACCCAGTGTTTCGGGGAATTCACCCCTCATCAGTTGAGCTTGAGTAGGCTGAGGAAGATTGTGCCTGAAGAGCACCACTTATCATCGCCGAAGTCGCAACCACTATTTCCTTCTACACTGTATTGTGCCCAGCTCGGGCTGGCGACTAGCTGATTTGGAGGTGACAGCGTTGTGAATGGTCCAGGGCCCTCTACGTCTGTTCTCACCCTCCAGGAGCGACACTGACTCACGCTGTTATCTGGTGTTCACGAAGTGTTTGTCGCGCTGGAAACGGGGCGTCTCTGTAAATTTGTATCCCTGGTGATGTTTGTGCCTCGAGAGCACTAAATAAGTGGTGCTCTTCAGGCACAATCTTCCTCAGCCTACTCAAGCTCAACTGATGAGGGGTGAAATCCCCGAAACACTGTGTATTGAGCAGGGAGTGATGCTTTCTTGCAGGTTTGCCAAGTCGAAGGTTCGATGGATTTCTCGTGTGCTCTGGACTGGATGGAAGGCGTGAGTCAGTCAAGTGTCAAGTCAAGTCGGCGGAATAGCGCGAGCTCCAGTGTGGGAGCAAACTCATTCCTAAAAAGCATAATAATTAGGGCTGAGTCGGGTAGCATTTTCCTCGGGTATTGGGTCCGGGTAGTTTTGCACGGGTAGCACGGGTACCCGATCGGGTAATGTTCCCATGGTAAGACCACAATGCACACCGGCCCCTTCCCTTACAGGCTGGGTAGACATGCGTGAATTATTTACACACGTGCACTGTAGACCTCTCTCTCTCTCTACTCATTCTACATGATGTCATCTGCGACTTCGGGTTTTCGGGTACGATTCGGTACCCGTCTACCCGAGGTCCTCACGGGTAGCAAGGGACTGGATGGAAGTCGTGAGTCAGTCAAGTGTCAAGTCAAGTCGGCGGAATAGCGCGAGCTCCAGTGTGGGAGCAAACTCATTCCTAAAAAGCATAATAATTAGGGCTGAGTCGGGTAGCATTTTCCTCGGGTATTGGGTCCGGGTAGTTTTGCACGGGTAGCACGGGTACCCGATCGGGTAATGTTCCCATGGTAAGACCACAATGCACACCGGCCCCTTCCCTTACAGACTGGGTAGACATGCGTGAATTATTTACACACGTGCACTGTAGACCTCTCTCTCTACTCATTCTACATGATGTCAACTGCGACTTCAGGTTTTCGGGTACGATTCGGTACCCGTCTACCCGAGGTCCTCACGGGTAGCAAGGGTACCCGACTACCCGTGCATACCACTAATAATAATAATAATAATAATCAGACGTGCTCTCTTAACCCTTTGCATGCTGAGCCCCCTTTCTCCAATCCACTGGCTTTCCAGCGCACTGACTCTCTTGGTGGAGTATGCACTCACAGCTCCGAACGAAATCTATTCTCATTTCACTCCACCTTGATGGATTTTCATCGTCCTTGGCTCGTTGGAAAGATCAGGACCAAGCGAATCCATCCTGGCAGCTCTCAGCTCCATAGACACATCATGGCCACTTCCACGTCCTCTCCAAACTACTCCACCCTGCCTCGGAACGGCACAACAACTCAATTTCACATTCTTGTTCGGCTTCTTGCCGAACAAGAATGCAAAGCTCAGATCCAAGCGCTTCATTTGATGTCAATCACGCATGCGCCGTGCCAAAGGTTCACTCTGGGCCGTGATTTCCGTGTTCATCTTGTCGCCGCTCAATGAATTCTTATCCTATTGCGAAGAACGTTATATCGCCGGAAAGATGAGGTCAAGACCTTTCCAACGGTGTATTGATTGTCGCGATGCATTTATGTTTGACGAAGTTACGAAAGTTTGTACACTGGTCTATGCACTGCGATATATCGCGCGAATGTTTTGCGAGTAAACTCGTACATAGTGGATCAGGTCATGCATAAAATGCGAGTTAACTCGTACTCAGCACGCAAAGGGTTAATGTCTGTGGTGCTCGTAGCTGTACTGGTGAGGCCTTTATGGCCGAAACAGCTTGCTGTCTATAGCATTGCTTAAATATTTATCTATGCTGATGGGTCGTTGATTTGATTTTGATTTTATCATCTACTTGGTCCGACTTATTAAAATGTGCGCTTCACTTCAAAACTCAAGCATTTGTACAAATGAGCACTAGAACTAAAAAATCAACCAAGAAACGGTATATAGATAACTACTGTATTATCTCTTGGGCGGACCTTCTAGTTTCCATCGCTGCTGGTGTCTCCGTGCGCATCGGCAATTGCGCCACCCTGCAAAACACCGACAGTTCTTTTATCTCCTTCAAGCAATGCTGCCCTTCCTTGATTTTTTCAATCCATAGGCCCGGTTTTGACGACCGCCTTTGCATCTCCCGCGCGCAGTGCAACTGCGAGAAAGGTGGCTGTCGGGCTTTTCACCCGGCGTTCCCACGAACTGGATGACGCGATGCTTGTGCTGCTGAACAAGTTTCTGCATGATGTGTTTGCTGAAATTCTACCCAGGAAACAGCGACTCCAGCGATTTCAATACACCAGGAGGGAATCGAGAACGATCGCCCAGGAGTTTCTGGTGCTATCTGTAACTTTGTGGCTCCTTGGCTCTTTTTCTAAATAAATTAATCCTTGGCTCTCCATGCAAGTCCAATTTCAAATAAGGGTTTAACTATGAAGGTGTGTTTCGATAATGGACTCGGATGAAGAGCAAAGGAAAACTGATTGAAAAGAAAAAAGGACCAAGGAACTACAAGTTACGCTGTAATGTCCACTAACACCATCAGTAACTAAACAATCAGCTCATGCGATAACATTGCACGACACTGACCGACTGTACTGACGTTCTACAACTAACTACCTAACAGCTCCAACACATCTTGGATGCGCACTCCAACAGCCTTCCAACTTGGACGGTTCTAAGTTATATGATAACATTGTCCAATGGTCTTGCCAGTATCGTCATTGACATGCATGAACATCCGCCAACGTCCTTCACAGCTGAGACTTTCAGCCGTACTTTCAGATTTCTATTTACTAATGGGGTTTATGTACCACCCGGACTCGTTACAATGAGGGAGTACCTGAAGAGCAACTTGTAGTCCCTTGGTCCTTTTTCTTTTCTACAAAGTGTTTCAATCCTTCCATTTTTCGGGACTGACATGATTCTGGTAGGAAACAGCCGTTCAATTTTGAACAACATCAATACACTACCAGCATTACCGGACATGGCAAAAACTATATTTTCTCTCCAAGTTGGCTCCTCTTATCTCTGGGTCGTCCTCATTCACCCACTATGACCGTTTGGTCGAGAAAACCTTTTCTTAAGGTATTAGTCAAGACAAAACATCGCCAAAAATTCTCACTGAAACACCTTCAGACAAGGTACAAGAACGGGGGCCACCACGCAAGTTTTACATGTGCATCGATGTTTCGTCGTACATGACTAGAATCACGACATAGCAGTTGTGCGCTCTAGGATTTCAGGTATGCATTGCAGTAGGAAAATCAAGAATCGAAAAAAAGTTATCTTTGGGGCGTGGCTGCGGGCTTCCAGTACCTGAAAAATGCATGATGCAACGGCGTATGCGCACGACGTACGTGGACTCTTAGCAACATGAGTGATAATTTGAAGGCCATACAATTGGTGTACAATGCGCATGTGGAGTTTGAACTAAATCACTAATGAACATACCGAAAGCTTACTGACCCGACATCTGACACGCCAATCAGCCACTTCCCAATGGTGCAATTTCCACAGATCTGGAAACACCATGACAGCAGGAAATATGGCAGTCAGAAGACCAGGAGACATACAATATGTTACAACTGCTTCCTACCAGCCTCTGTGCTCTGAGGACCCAATAACCAAGGCAGTTTCATTTTCAAATTCACTGCTGTTTTGTGCGTTAGCTGGAAAAAGCGTGCAATTGCTCCTTGTAATGACGCCATTTTCCGATTGATCTTGTTCTCTATATTCTTTCTTTCTCTCTCGCTTTCCATGGTTTGTGATGGCTTTCGATTCTGCCATGACTGGCTCTCAGCCAACCTACCAGTGTCATTATTGGTAGTCAGTTGTCATGTCAGCAGATGTGGTATTTGTTGAACACATGTAGATAGATAAATTCACGAGCTCATCATGGTCATTACTGTACATGTGAAGAGCTGGAAGGCAAAACCCGCTACATCCCTTAACTTAACTTAATTGACCACTTTTAGAATTGGGTACCTCAACTTGAACTTTCCAAATACGATCTCTTCGTTGCACAGGTCACTTCAAGATAAATAAAGAATTGAATTCACCAAATTTTCGGGTATGGCCCATCCTCAGGGTGAAAGCATTCAACTAATGCCAACAAAAACTGAAACGAGTAGATATGCAGTGTGGTGCTGTAGGAAGGCGATGAGAAGAGTGTGGAAAAAAGGAGCTAAAAATGTGTGTATGCGTGTAGGCTAGCTGTAATGGTGAAAGGTGTCGGGAGAAAGGGAGGGAGGAAAGGACAGAAGTTTAGAGCTGTATCTATATCGATTATGATATCGATTACTGCATCCTAGAAATGTGCGGGTGCAGAAAGTCAGTTTATTATTATTATATTATTTTTTTACTATACACAGCCCTACTAGAATTGAAAGCATGTGCATAACAAGAAACGAGGAAAAGGACAAAGTACCGTATTTGTCGGAGTATAGTGCGCACCTTTGTATAACGCGCACCCCCAATCTTCATTGGGGGTGCGCACTTCAATCTTCATTGAAGTACATGCATTTCACATTCGAAACCTAGTGTGCACCTGCGATTTAGGGCCTAAAATAGCACATCTAAAGTGCGCACTATACTCCGGAAAATACGGTATATTGCACATGTGTACATGCACTGTTGATCTAAAATGTACGTAAAAAAACAATTATCGTATCCTACTACTGCAGATACAGGTGTTCATGTAGCCGTGAGTCCGTTCACACATTCATTTATGCGCTGCAGCGCGCTGGTCGCAACGGATCATGTGCACTGCCTGCAGCCACGTTTCGTTCTGTACGCCCTGAGGACACCGGCCTCGGTCAATCGACTGGATTTCCATATCCGCGACAGTACATGACAATCTTGCGCAAGTGTTTTTATTATTTTTTTTATCTTTAGAATCGTGTAATCGAAACAGACAGCATAATCGAAATCGCTTCGTTGTAATCATCGATTAGACGGATAACCGATATAATTGTTTCAGTCCAAAAATCGATAGTCGAATTGATACAAGGGTAGGTTAACCGATAGTTGAAAAGTGTAATAGTTTCACCCCTAAATTTTTTATAGTGATGCAAGTTTCGAATTGGGCTGGTCTTGATCCCAACATTCTTACTACATGACAATTGTTTTAGGAATGAGCTCCTTGAGCCTCTTGTACGGGCGAAATAACACATTTCTGCAGCATGAACACAATTGCAGAAAACGAATCATGGGATATAGTAATGATTATACGGATCACTGCAGGTTCACTGAATGCCTGCCTCAGCCACCACCAGCACTGCAGGGGACTCAGGCACGGCAGGAGCAAACATGCTCCTTGAGCCACGCAGGCACATGGCACCACAACGAACCAGGGCAAACCCAAGGCGGCAGCGCAGCAAGAAGATAATCTGCACGTATGGTTCCTTGCTCTTCTCAGCCAGGAGAGAGTCGACCCGCGAGAAAAGCGCATTGGCATGCTTGCCATAGCCACCAGAGGCAGAAAGCACAACGGGCACGAAGGAGGCATGCTCGACTTCGCGTACTCGCTCTTCGTACTTCCGGCGCTTTTCCTGTTCATGGCGTCTGTAGCTAGCAGCGAGGGAGGTGGCACGACTCGAAGACGCGAAAGGGTTGAACACCCGTGCATCAATACAGATGCGCTCGAATCGGCCACTAGCCGCAACTTCCAGCCGAACTTGCTCCTCCGTGACAGCTGTGCGATGGCGCTACATGACAACTCGGATCCTTCAAACATGTAAATATGTACATGTACAAGCCATGCAACTGCTAATGCTTGTATTGTTTTAGCGTGCATGGCGCGGACAACAGACCATGCACTTTGTGGGATAGATAAACTAAGCACCGCTGCTGTAGACAAGCTGGCCAACGTTTCATTTCATCCCCTTCAAAATAATTCACACTCTGCCTGATAAACTCCGATCTCATGATTTGAATGGAATTATTATAATTATAAAACAGGCAAATTCGGACCGTACCTCGTCAACAGTATGTGGATCACGAAGGAGGTGGAGACCACGGTGTGTAGTTCCCGCGCGGTTCACTACCGCGCACCTGCCAGCTGCAAAACTAACTTTATGGCTTCTCCCAATGGTGCAATTCTCCGCTCAATATGTTACAAGACCGCTGGCTATACCGCTGGCTGAGTGCATCGCCTAGAACACTCTGCCAACACCGATCGAATTGAATCAGTTGTAGTCTACAAAGGGCATGCTGATGCGCGTGTCCGAACAAACGAGCTGTCCAGACCCTACACTCTCGTTCTGCAACAAACTGAGAGCTGTGTGACAAGCTATCAGTATGGTAGGGCTAATGCCTGATCGGAGGTGCGGACGAACCAACAACGATGCATACACGTACACAGCGCTTTGCAACTCCGTGGCGAAGGGTAAAATCAAATAATAATTATTTCATTCTGTATTGACACTGCAGCTACTGCACTGACGGAGTCGACAGCGATAGCGCTGAGCAGAGTGCATGCGGCTCAAAAAGTAGAAGGACCTACATACAGTATCATACTGTATGCTCGGCTCATTTTGTATGGGTACGGGTTTATCATTCAGGTTTTCACGACTCTTTGCGTGCTACGCAAAGAAGTAGTAAACACAGTGACTCAGTGTAGTACTAGTACTAGTTTTGAGATTTGGGTCATGCATGCGCCAACTTGACAGCTACACGTAGCGCCGCTCAGGCTGCATATACCGTAAAATCACACATGCACAGCTGTCCAGGCTACTGCCCAAGACATGCTGGCTGCACGGACCGTGCGACAAGTACAATGTCAATGACGGAAATCTACCTGTCAAGCATTGCTGGCATGAATGCAAGGCATACTAAATATAGGCTATACTATGTACTAGCATAGGCTATACTATACTAGCATAGGCTATACTATACTAGCATAGGCTATACTATACTGGCATAGGCTATACTATACTAGCATAGGCTATACTATACTGGCATAGGCTATACTATACTAGCATAGGCTATACTATACTAGCATAGGCTATACTATACTAGCATAGGCTATACTATACTAGCATAGGCTATACTATACTAGCATAGGCTATACTATACTAGCATAGGCTATACTATACTAGCATAGGCTATACTATACTAGCATAGGCTATACTATACTAGCATAGGCTATACTATACTAGCATAGGCTATACTATACTAGCATAGGCTATACTATACTAGCATAGGCTATACTATACTAGCATAGGCTATACTATACTAGCATAGGCTGTACTATACTAGCATAGGCTATACTATACTAGCATAGGCTATACTATACTAGCATAGGCTATACTATACTAGCATAGGCTATACTATACTAGCGTAGGCTATACTATTCTAGCATAGGCTATACTATACTAGCATAGGCTACACTATACTAGCATAGGCTATACTATACTAGCATAGGCTATACTATACTAGCATAGGCTATACTATACTAGCATAGGCTATACTATACTAGCATAGGCTATACTATACTAGCATAGGCTATACTATACTAGCATAGGCTATACTATACTAGCATAGGCTATACTATACTAGCATAGGCTATACTATACTAGCATAGGCTATACTATACTAGCATAGGCTATACTATACTAGCATAGGCTATACTATACTAGCATAGGCTATACTATACTAGCATAGGCTATACTATACTAGCATAGGCTATGCTATACTAGCATAGGCTATACTATACTAGCATAGGCTATACTATACTAGCATAGGCTATACTATACTAGCATAGGCTATACTATACTAGCATAGGCTATACTATACTAGCATAGGCTATACTATACTAGCATAGGCTATACTATACTAGCATAGGCTATACTATACTAGCATAGGCTATACTATACTAGCATAGGCTATACTATACTAGCATAGGCTATACTATACTAGCATAGGCTATACTATACTAGCATAGGCTATACTATACTAGCATAGGCTATACTATACTAGCATAGGCTGTACTATACTAGCATAGGCTATACTATACTAGCATAGGCTATACTATACTAGCATAGGCTATACTATACTAGCATAGGCTATACTATACTAGCATAGGCTATACTATACTAGCATAGGCTATACTATACTAGCATAGGCTATACTATACTGGCATAGGCTATACTATACTGGCATAGGCTATACTATACTAGCATAGGCTATACTATACTAGCATAGGCTATACTATACTAGCATAGGCTATACTATACTAGCATAGGCCATACTATACTAGCATAGGCTATACTATACTAGCATAGGCTATACTATACTAGCATAGGCTATACTATACTAGCATAGGCTATACTATACTAGCATAGGCTATACTATACTAGCATAGGCTATACTATACTGGCATAGGCTATACTATACTGGCATAGGCTATACTATACTAGCATAGGCTATACTATACTAGCATAGGCTATACTATACTAGCATAGGCTATACTATACTAGTATAGGCTATACTATACTAGCATAGGCTATACTATACTAGCATAGGCTATACTATACTAGCATAGGCTATACTATACTAGCATAGGCTGTACTATACTAGCATAGGCTATACTATACTAGCATAGGCTATACTATACTAGCATAGGCTATACTATACTAGCATAGGCTATACTATACTAGCATAGGCTATACTATACTAGCATAGGCTATACTATACTAGCATAGGCTATACTATACTGGCATAGGCTATACTATACTGGCATAGGCTATACTATACTGGCATAGGCTATACTATACTAGCATAGGCTATACTATACTAGCATAGGCTACACTATACTAGCATAGGCTATACTATACTAGCATAGGCTATACTATACTAGCATAGGCTATACTATACTAGCATAGGCTATACTATACTAGCATAGGCTATACTATACTAGCATAGGCTATACTATACTAGCATAGGCTATACTATACTAGCATAGGCTATACTATACTGGCATAGGCTATACTATACTAGCATAGGCTATACTATACTAGCATAGGCTATACTATACTAGCATAGGCTATACTATACTAGCATAGGCTATACATGATTGTACTTACCAAAATACTTACCAAACCAGCCAAAGCCAATCTCTCTTTTTTGGGCAATTTGTGATTATTTTTGCGTATTTTCCGCAATAATATTTTATCCATATATCTTCACTCTCCAAACGGTCTCTGGGCTACACCAATCACTAAAAGGAAAAGAGATATTAAAACTATGAATAGGATGAAGGCCGCAGACATCACGCAACTACGTTTCTTTGTTTGACATGTATTTACTGTGTATTTTATAACAAAAATATTATTGAAAACCCATAATCGATTTTCTTGTTCCTATCATCAGTGGGAAAATACGGAACTAAGGATACAACCAAAGAAACTGAAGTTAAGTACTGTAAATAGAAAGGTGTTAGAAATAACAACAAGATACAAGTGCAATAAAACCACTAGAGGAAACGCAAAAAGGTAACAAGATTACGTGACCAAAGGCGAGAAGGCACTAAACGAAGTGTCGACCTACGAATACAACTTCAGTGCAACAACGTGCTCCTTCTGCTTACACAAAACAGGCTTATGAATACGTATACAAACTGCCTCGAGGACTTTCAACTGTTGGACATAACGCGCACGACACAGTACAGAAAAATGAGAGTCATCATACACACTAAGACAGTCAGGACGAGATAACAAGTGTAGATACACAGCTGACTTCTTATGATCAACACATTCATCCGCCTCATCTCGCTCCTTCCCACCCGACTCCTCCTCGTCCATCTCATCATCCTCTTCCTCGTTCCGCTCGTCATCCTCACGATCATCATCACTACCATCATCTGCCTCGTCCTCTGTCTCCTCACCACTCTGTCTCCTCACCAACCGTTTCGTCATCCAATTGCTCTTCCATCCTCTGATCACCTGATGAGATGGACCCATTTTAATTAAAGGCTTCAGGTCATGGCACCCAGGCTCAGCACTACTTATTTGGCATTGAAAAAGACGTATAGATACGTCCCTCGGGCCTGAGTGTAAGTTTCAATGACGTATTTATATATACGTCCTTAGTGCTGAATGGGTTAATGCGCCTCACTCAGTCTCTTAAAGGGGCACTCCGGCTTCATTTTCGACGCCGAGTTTTCGATGCCAAGACGAAGGTAGGTGAAAGAGAAGACCCCTCGAACAAGAACGAGTCTCCAGAAGCGATCGAGTCGAGCAGGAAGACGACTTTTGAATTTCGCCGAGCGAGCGCTGAATGGGTTAATGCGCCTCACTCAGTCTCTTAAAGTGGCACTCCGGCTTCATTTTCGACGCCGAGTTTTCGATGCCAAGACGAAGGTAGGTGAAAGAGAAGACCCTTCGAGCAAGAACGAGTCTCCAGAAGCGATCGAGTCGAGCAGGAAGACGACTTTTGAATTTCGGCCGAGCGAGCGCTGATGACGTAATGAGGGATTAGCTTGCCAGTGGAAATGCACCTGCGCACATACATTTTACACACTTTTTGGCCAATTTTCAATCGAAGAGGAGGTTGTTTGCTATGTTCTCCCAACGTTGTGAGCGATCCGGTCTTCTTTACCCTTCCAGGTACCCTGAAGGTCCTCCAGACGAGAATTTATCTCCAGCAAAGTGTTGTTGATCCGCTAAATTCGTCTCGAGACATATTCAGTGCTGATAAATGTAGAATGTTGAATCTGTGATAATTGTCGACGATAGTGAGAGAGAGGCTGATAGCCGCTGTCTCAGGGAGAGTGAAGCTGCTGGAAGTAACAATGGGGAGCCCGTTTGTATCATCTGAACAACCAGACTTCGAAGCAGCTTGACCAAATCGGAGGGCGCCTCGTTGCTTATCGTGAATATTACACCGACATGAATTACTACAAGTATACTGGTGAGTTTTTATCTTGTTTTGTTCGTATGCTAGTACCCTGGCCTGGAGTTCTCGTTAGCACATTCCTATTCCCTGGCGGTTTCTAAACATTCCGTTTAGTACTGAATACGTGATCAAGTATTCCGATTTGGGTAGATATGGAATTTGGACATGTATTTTATAAAAAAATTCTATCATAAGTTTCCAAATAGAGAAATGTAGAGAAATGGTTGCCCAAATACAACAAAATTGATTCTGCAGTTCTACAACTTGTACTGAAATCCAGTCAAAGTAAAAATTAATGATTCTTCATGACAGTTGGGGTCAATGAAATCTGATCCAGGCATAACGAATGGTGACGCCTGTCACCCCGGGAACGAATGCCCATTTGGTGGGGGATACCAAAGTACTCGAAAGTGGTGTGTGTTTCAATGTGGCATTTTGGAAGTTTTATATGATCTCTGGTCAATGCAACATACGATAGCCA